ATGATTACATAATCTTTGTTAACTACCATGAATAAAGTTAGCACTATGTAATTCTGTTTTGAGAGCAGATACTCAAATCATTATTGTCCTGATAAATCTGGCGTTCCCTTCCCTTTTCCCTTGAACTTTTTTATTAAAGTTCACCATTAATTCAAATATTTAGATTAAAAACACAAATTAGTTTTCTTACCAAAATGAAGTAGCTACTTGCATATGGAAATTAACCCAGATTTATAACAGGTATTATATGCTCTACAGCCAACACGTTATACTACTCAACTGTTACACTATTTTGAACCTGACTTCAGTGATTACCTGCTGTCTAGCCTCTGTAACCAGAAATGGCTGGATATAAATTAAAGGGTCTATCCAACTTTGCAGGCAAATGATGGATACCAATTTATAAGCTATTTAATAGCCTTAGCCTATAGTTAAAAATTATATAGAGAACTTATCAGTAGCAAAAATAAGTTATTTTTAACATATTTCACAATCATAACATTACTGTCAAATTACTAAATAGATTTACTCATTTATATTTAGAAGTCAGTCACACTTATGAAATACAGACTGGCAGAATTCTAATATTCTTTTGAGAAAGGTTTCTATAACAGATTGTTAGCACACCCATTACAAAAACAGCAACTGCTACAAAAAATACAAGTTAAAGAATGCATAAAAGAGGCAGCATAAAAGCCTCTACAAGTTCAACATAGTTTTTGGTCAGCCTGTATGACATTGAGCATTTGTGTGTGTGTTTGCATATTTTCCCTTATTACCTCATCACATCTTTACCACAGTATGATGTGTGATGTAGCATGTGTTGTATACAACTGAAACTAGGGTTTTTAATATATTAGAACACCCCTGTAATATTATAACCCTTAATAAAGTAACAAATATTATTTTGACATGTTGAGATTTCATCTTGTAGTTCAGATTACTTCACATTAGTCTGCCTCTGATTCAAACAAACTCTGATACACAACCACTGTTCATGTGTGTGAAGCGTTTCAATATTTCTACATAAAAACCAAAACAATTTTCAGCTGAGAAAAATACAGAATTCCACATAGCCCAAGGAGGAACAACTTTTGTAGGTTATACAAAACAGCCAAATTTTTCAAACGGTAGTCAAACTTTCTCTTTCATAGGTTTGTCTACTGAATTTTGGAAAAGATTTAAATTTTAGATTAGAAATAAGAAATGCACCTATTGGCCCTAAAGCCTGGCTGCAGTGCTCTTACAGTTAGTTGCATTAAGGCTACTTCATGCTTGGCTTGAGGAAAGAATGCAGAGAACTTCAGTTATCCATTGTGCAGATCTCAAGAATGAGGCATTCCCTAGAATGGTTGTTCTTCTGTAGCTGGACATATGGCTGGAAATACATCTTTATAGTATATACTCATAATAGGCTTTAAACCCATGTTCAAGCTGACAGTCTTTTGTTAAAATAATCATATTTCTTAACCTTTCTATCTAAAAGGTGAGATATTTACCTAGATACTCATCCACATAGTTAAAAAAGATAATGCACAGAAGTCTGTTCATGATTACCTGGAGAGACCATGTGTAAGAACAGAACTTTGTAATTTTTTACATAAAATCTGCATATTTACATAAAATTATTTTAAACACAGAGCTTGGTATATAAAAAATAATTAAACATTTGGGATTTGGAACTTATACTGTGAAGTTAATTGGCAAGTACATTGGCAGAATCACCAATTTCACTATGCTTGTTTTTTTTAAAAATTCACACAAGAGAACTCAGTTTGCACTAGGTTCACCTACTGTAGTAGGTGACATTACGACAAACTGTGAAAAGCTTTAGTTTTTCCCATTTCCCTAGTTATTTCCAAAGGTTTAAATTACATTATTTCATTGCTCCCCAAATATACATCTTTGGCACTGCAGTCTAAAAAGCCCATACCATACACTTTCCTATCATTAGCAAAAGTACAATTAGGTGAGTTCATACAAGAGAGAAGTGTAGCACTATGGAGAAGATTTCTAACTTCAGTTCTCCTGTAAGCCTCCATTTCAAGAAGTGTCATAGGAAACTGAGGTTGCTCTTCTAAATTTTTTAAAATATCTCCGTCTTTTTCAGAAGAGAAAAAAATTGCTGTCAAACTAATACATTATCTACATATCAGGAATCAAACAGTGGGGCTCCACCTATAGCATTTAGACAAAAGACTGTCATAAGATTGATGTTACCTCCGAAGACAACTCGTTATTATTTTGTATACACATTTCCAGAGAATTCTTTCCTGAAACTGTTCTATTATCATTCAAAGTTTTCAGAATTACCCCCACTGTCACATTCCAAGCAGATAAAAAACAGCGCAACAAATCTATAGATTATGAGATCATACATGACTTTGTTTGTTCTGCAACATGCAGAGACAACTGAAAAGATCACCAGCAGTGAGACAAGAAAATGCTGTAACTAGCAATTACACTCGTGAATTTTCAAAACAATGGACTGCTATTTTTTCTTAAATCACACTGTGACTAAACACTTCCAACAGTCCACATCACAGCCTTGCCAATCTCATGATTTGTTCTTTTTTTTTCTTTAAGTGTCTTTTTTTAAGTTGAAAGACCTGTCTGAAAACAAAACTATTGGATGCTTAAATGGTAGTTTTAAACACAGTAAGGAATGTATTAGTCTCTCATATTATAGCCTGAGGTTGGAAACATACCGGCAGTTGTCTCCTGTATGAATCTGGTTACACAAAATGTCCAACTACACCCCTTACAATGCAGGGAAAGCTTTACTTTCCAAGAACAGCAACACCCTAGTCTTTGCCATTAGCAGGGAGAGGGTCTCTTGTGTATGAAATACAAGATAGAATATCTGGGGGATTCAAAGTCTCAAGGAGACTGGCTAATGACCATCAGGAATTTCAGATTCAATGCTGAACTCGGGTTGGGAAGGAAATATGCAGATTTTTTTCCTTTCACTTTCTTTATCCAAGTCTTTTATTAGGCTTGTAACACGCCTGTTCATTTCAGAAATATTTTAAATCTCATACAAAAGTGGTTTGGGGTGATTTTTTAATAACTGGACAGTATTAAAACATTTCTTACACAAGGCTGTGAGCCAATTTTATAAACCAGAGTACCTGGAAAACTTAAGCAGCAGTTTTTATTTCCCAGTATGTTCTCCAGCTCATTTCAAACAATCTCAGTTTTCCACAGATGAAATAAGAACTGTTCTCTCACAACTAAGTAACTTTCTTGCAGTGAGACAAGAGGCTCTAAAGCACAAAACAGGATCCCCATGAATTCTGCAAATCTTCACACCTTGTCATTCTCATTCAGTTGTTGTATATTCAGTAGTTACTCCTAAAATCATTTATAGGTCTACTTGTTCATTTAAACAGAATAAAGAAGCTGTTCTGTAAGTAATGCTGTCTTCCTTGAGAAGATATTTATTCACTGAAACAAGTCTCAACTGAACAGTCTCTTTTGATAAGCTAAATATTCATTCAAACCTGAAATTATTTACAAAGCAGTTTCAGTAATTCATACCAAGTTTTCAATAAAGTATGGCCATTAGGAATGGCCATCAAGTTTATTAAATAAGAAATATTTTAGATAAGCAGTTCTGATTGTCTTCCACAGCAAGTTGTACTAGGACTCATGCTGCTTGACCTGTTCATAAGTGATCTGAAAACACGAATTAACAGGAACAAAAATCTACTAATGATATTCACTAATTGAGAGGAGCAAACAGAAAGGCAGACTGATAGGAATTACAGAAGGATTTATGAGACAAACTGCTTGAACAGTAAAACAGAAGATGGAAATCTACATACAGTGTTACATACAAGGGGAAAAAAGAATTCTGACTTTCAATACAAAAAAAGGAAAAGCAAACCAGTGCCAATAAAGGCATAATCTTAGCATTACAATAAGCCGTAGCATGATTGCTACTCTGTGATTGCTGCTAAACTTTGAGGTAACAGAAGGTCAGAAATTATTAAGTAGAGCACAAAAACCTTCCTGAAGTAACTGTAAAATACAATCTGCATTTCTATCTTGAATTTTGCAGGTAGTACACTTCATGTGCATACTGTTTCCCTAAAAAGTGGATACAGGACTGAAACACTACCCAGACAAGTTGTCAAGGATGCAAGTGGCATCTGTAGAAGGCATGATCAAGTAATCCAAAGACCCTTCCTTTTGGAAGAGAGGTAGTTGAAGATTTACTATGAAGGCAACAAATAATGACTTCAGTCCATAATGTCAGGAGTAGCCTCAAGCTATGTAAGAACAAGGTAGGGTTTATCCAGTGAAGATAAAAATTACCATGTTCAATTCAGATAAAAGAATGTGGTACTGGACAGAGTTGAAGTCCTGCCATCTCAGTGCTGTGCATGCAATGTCAGTTTAGAGCGAGAGTGCAAGTGTTCATGGAAGACAGATCCACCAAGGAATTAGGGGTTACTAATACAGAGACAGCAACTCTGGCCCAGGAAGGCTAAGCAGAATTCTTGAGCTCTTGTTAATCCAGGGTCAGCAATTTAAAAACATTTATTCTTTTTAGCTGCAGTTTAGTATCTTACTAAATCACTGATAAAGCCAGAAAACAGTTCATTACATTGGACCACTTTCATTAACAATAACCTTTGTGCAGAAATATTTCCAGGTGAAATATTCACCATAAAACCAATTCATCAAATGGCTACTTGGTGCATGTCACAAAAGAAAAGGAGACAATACCAAGACTGGACAGTATTTTAACTGTAGGTCTCACTTTTAATACATGTTTGCATTAAAATAGACATATATTTAATCAGCACCTGAGAGAAAAAGTACTTCCAAAAGTATGTAAACCTATGTATAGCCTAAAAATCTCAAGCTGAACTAATTTTTCCAAATATGAAATGGAGTGAACCATTCTTCTACAAACAGTGTTCTTCAGGTGCACATCGTGGTACATTAGCACTCGTCTGTCAATGATAAATAAGGTAATTGTTCACACTCACCTAAATATGGAATTGTTGGAACCATTTTTAAGCTTCTGATGTACTCTCGTGTCCTTTTGTAATTATCTTCCTTAGACAGTAAATAGTCTAACTTCTCAAAGGTGGTCTTGTCTTTCCGATTCAAAAGCTACACAGAAAATGGAGAAAATACATAAAAATTTCAAAGACAAATCCACACAAAACTAGGAATCAATAACTTGTTGAATTTCACAGAGTAAAGGAAAGCACAGTCTCTTAAGATTAAATTTATCATCACCATCCGAAGCAGCACAATGTTTGAAAATGTGCTACCTGTCATGGGACACTACCTGTTAAAAAAAAAATTACCTACAATTTACTGTAGGTCTTAAGCTATTAAAAAACATGATCATTATTTCTGACTAATTTGTCAGCAATAACCTCAGCAATATTAAATTTTTAGAGAAAAAGTGTGTTCTAATACAGTCACCAACATACCAACATTCTCGTAATTTAGCAAAGTTGCTAAAAATCCTCTGAATTTAGAAGTATGAACAGCAATGGAAAATGCTCGAAATAAATGCAAATTGTGCCATTTCAACAGTATCTTATTAGGAATATGATAAAACTGTTCAGAAAAAAGTATATGGAAAGTAAATACTTGTGATATTAGATCCATGTTTTCTATTAGACTTATTACAGAAAACTAGAAATACAAACATGATTGTGCCTAACAAAATGCATGATATACTGCAAAAATCCTAGTTGCAGGGGCTGAAAAGTAAAGATAAAATACACAACTGTAGCTATAAGAATGCATTTCCTGTTTCAGCTGGCTTCAGAAATCCCAGCAATATTTTTAAGATGGTTTTAAAAGCCAATTGAGTTGGAGTGAGTGGAGAATTATGGCACTGTACACTGTCTTCTTGCATTGTGTCCTTTCTGACAATAGACAGCTGCTCCATAGCACATTCCTTCATATATCTTTTCCTCTGGAAAATTCCAGTTCTTGTACTACTTAGCTTTTAAGTCTAGCTGTTAATAAAATAATAACATAAAAAGAATAAAAATATATCAGAATAATTTTGCTGTTTTCTTTTTAGCAGCACTGAGAATTGCTTGAGCTACTGCCACTGCAATGTATTGTATTTTTGAACTACTGTGCCTACAAAGAGCCTGGCACCTCTTTAGGTCTAAGTCAAATTAGTCACATACTTCATTTCATACATAAGCAATTTTCCCTATTTATTTCCAGCTTCAACAAGCTGCTTAAAACACCTCACTTTTTTATTAAAGGTACTTAACTTTTTATTGGACCATAACCTTATTCTGAGCAATTAAAAAATAACTGCAAGCATTTTAAAAGCTTGAAAAACCTATCTAAGACTGAAGTATAGCCATCTTTTTTTATAAGTGCTGAACAGTCAATGTGATCCATGGTGTATAGAATACTTAATTGATCAGAATTACCCAAACCTTTTTCTAGTTAAATATTACATACAGTAGAAATAACCTATAACTGCATACTCCTCTTTAAAGAAATATTTAAATTTACTCTAAGTTTTGCTAAGAAATTCTGCCTTCCAGAGACAGAATTTCTGAAAATAGAATTATCAATGTTTTTCATTTCTAAAATAAATAAAAACTGAAATGCATCAGACAATAATCACAAAATTAACACTTGTATATTTGTAACATGCCTTTTGTCTTCCTTTAAGGTAATGTATTAAATGACTATGTTTTGGGTAAGGGGACACTGATACATGTTCTGTACAAGGGTATTCTAAGATTACTTATCAACAGAAGTCTTCTTGAGCGTATAACCAGTGGCTTCTAGAACACACAGGAAAACAGGAAATTTACAGGAAAATAGATGGAGCTGTTCTTCTGCTTTTCACAGAACATTTAACAGACCACTACCTCTGCTACCACAGTACCACAAAAACAAGAACATAAAAGCATCCTCTTTCAGAGTTTACAAAATGACAAATTTCCAAAGAACCTCAGAATTCAAACAAAACAGAAGGGACAAGGGTCAAGGCAACACTTACAGCCCAAGTTTTGGTCAGCCTGAAGATCGGTGCACTTTGCAGTGCTGACACCACAGACATAAGAGAATGAAGATTATTCAGTTCCAGAAGCTTCTGAAAAAAGGGAATGATAGCTTTTAGCACATTGGAAAGGGAAGCAGGATTAGTTAATATCAAAGTAGCATTAATAAACTACGATTTTTTCATTGATAAAATACAAAGTTTCCATCTGTCTGCAGACAAAGTATTATCCAATGCTGTCATGTGCAAGATTCTTAAGACCACTTTAAAAGTTGCTAATTTTACAAGTATACCCACCACTATAAAAAGCATTTCAGTTTTGAGAATCCAAACAGCACTGGATTTCAGTTTGTTATTTTCTAAGGCTGTTCCTTCAGGAACAGAAAATAGGAAAAAGTGTTTGATGCATTGTTCTTGAAAATTCATGCAATTTTGGAAATTAAAGATTTAATCAAGCAGAAACATTACACAAAGATGTTGACAACCGTCTCAGAAGTAACACATCTTTTGCCTTTGTAATCTGTTTTATATGAAAAAATTTACCTCACTTCAATGTACTTTAAATTTACTCTGTGTGTTGACAATTACTCAAAATACAATGACCTCAGGCAGACAATACTTTGGAATAAAGCTGTCAAGATGATAATGCTTGCTACAACAAGCATAAAAATGTAAAACAGAAAAATGAGAATTGCTGCCATGTAATGTATTTAAGCATTGTAATGCTTAAATAGAGGCTGGATTCATCCTTGAGTGATTATTTACTCACTGCTCAGAAGCATTTAAGGAAGATCTGGACTTTATGGGGGGAAAAGCAGGAAAAGTAAAAAAGCAAGAGAAGGAAAGAGGGCAGTGTTTCCCCTTGTTCAGGCTAAAAAAAACCCCAAACACCACAACTCTTATTTCTAAGAACAACCCAGGACCTACAAAGTCAAACACTCTCCTATTACTTGGACTATTTTTTTGTGCCAGTAACTTACACAGATAAATTTTCTTCTAAAAGTACAAAACTGCTAAGTAAATTAATTGGAAATATGCACAGCACAAAAATTGTTTTGTACTACATGGAAAATATTATTTTAATTATTTACACCCACACAATTTCACACATACAAAATTAGCACTCGGGACTTAGATCCAAGTGCTGTGTCATTCAGGGTCATATAAAACAGAATGACCACAGCTTGTAAATATTTAAAATACTTTAATTTTTTTTTGTTTGTTTTAAAGTGAAGAGTAAAAGGCAGTGCTCAAACTCATTAAAATAAATGAGCTGTAACAGCAGTGCTTTATACCAGCAATTACTGGTATATATACTGGTGTGTATATATATATATACTGGTATTCCAAGCAGGAATACCAAACAAGTCTCACAATAACTATTTTAGACGCAAGAAATTTCATTTCTTTTCATAAAAGTTAAGCTTGAAAATGGAGGGAGAAAAAACCCAGAACAATTTACAACCACATTTGATGTTGTCAACACACAACTGGCCACCAACAACCCAAACCACTTTTAAACTTGGTAGGCAGAGGTACAAGATGAGTCACACTGAACTGGGTAGTTTCATCTAACCAAATGGAAAAGAACAGTTCTCATGCCTTTATCTAATTCACATGGTACAACATAACAGATGTGCTAAAACAGAATTGTAACTCTCTGCAATTCAACAAGGGCTCACAGGAGTAGTGCACAAACAAACAAGAAGAAATTATGGTTTTGATTGATAGTGTAAGAAATTTGCACTTACTTTTGCTATTTTCACAAAGTGGCTCAGTATTTCTGCCCTTATTTTTAAGGTCTGTGCTGTTAGTATTTCTCGTACAACCCAAAAACTGACCTGTAAAGACATGCAACTTTAATTTATTACCCAAAAAATGGGCTTTATTAGTCAATTAGATTAAATATTTGCAAACTCTCACAATGCTCCAGGAAGAAAACAGCGTAAGGAAAGAAAAGACTTCTGATCCCACTAATTCTCATCTGTATCACTGCAATTGCCCTGAAGCATTACCATCATAAGAGATAGAGAAGTGAGACAACACCAAGATAACTGAATGAGCAAGTGAAACCCAGAAAAAAAAGGGAGCAAAATTGCTAATGTTGCACAACAGCAAAACAAATTAGGAACTAATTATTAGGAACAAATGGTCTAGAGGAATAACATGAAAATGTGGACAAAACAATTGAAAACAGGGGCTATCATTTAAAAATCTTAAACTTCGTTTGGAAAAGTAGGTTTTAATTCACATGAGTAGTTCTGTTTATACTCAAAGACAACTGTCAAACAGTACCTGATCATGACAGTAATCAAATTATATACCTGGTTAAACCTCCTAGTAAAGGCAACAATATTTGGCGCGAGGGTGTGTTTTTCTTTCTTATTCCATCCACAGCTGGCTAGTTCCTAGGAAATACATTTAAAAATTGCCTTAAAAAACAGAAATGAGTTCCCTTTAACACTAGTTCTAAGTCACTCTTCTGCTTTTAGAACCACAAATCTTAGTTTCAATTGAAAGGTTGTTCAACTTTCCAAACATACACTACTAATTTTAGACACATTCACATAAAAAGGTAGAGTCAGCCAAAGAGAATTCTGCATCTGAAACGCACTTTGTAATGCCGAAAAATGGAACATACTCTAGAGATCTGTACATGCCTGTGTGAGCAGCCGGAAAAGCACTTCCAGTTCCAAACATATTTTGAATCCCCCTCTCCAGCACTTAAAACTTCTGTAAATAAAAATGCCAATTTGCTTATGTCAGGACATAGACTCTCCACATGAATAGTCCATGTCTTATGATATTAGAAATCATATGTTTACATGTAAAAAAAAGTCTCAGACACTCTACTAAGAACAGCAAAATTTACCTTTGTCAGAAAAGTAGAAGAGGTCAGTAACCCAAGGATATTAAGCAGTTGCAAGAGGACTAGTGAGTAACAATGGAAAATCCTGTGCATGGCAAATTTGACTAGGTTTAAAATTCAGACTAAATAGGAAGGTTGATAAAAGTGAGTGATTCAAAATGCCCCTGCCAATTTTTTTAATACTGCTACAATATACCGTGTTTTAGAATTATACTTCATCTCTTTTTTTTTAATTTGGTATGGAAAGATGCTGGCAGTTTCCTCAATGCACACAGTCACAGGAAACTTTCCCATCAAGTGTGCAAAACCGTGAAATTTGTGGAGATTGAAATTTCAGGACTTGGAAAAAAAATCTAAATAAAGTTACATAGAAATCTATAACTTAACCACAATTATTTCTGCTGGAGAACAAAGAATTGTTAACTAGACATCCTCTTTCTAAATTCTGCAAAGTAAAATGCAGATGTGATTTTCAGTAATAGCTGTTGGAGAGCAGGAAAAAGCTTCAGCAAATACCATGCTTAAAGGATGTTTGTGTGTTTGAGATAAGACTTAGCAACCAAAACTCTAAAATCTTAGGTATTTCCATCTATGCATAAGGTCACGTTAAAAGATTAACCTTAAATTTCAACCAGAATATGTGAACTTTCTTAGTCTAATAACTTACCTAATAGCAAGGAGCAGGTTCATGACAAATACACAGACTATTTATTGCCTTAAAACCTAGTCCTACAGTTGGCAAAATTTCAGTATAGACAAAGTAGTTTATTTTTGGCAAACAAACTATATTGACAATTCCAATAAAATGAAAATCAGAAAGCACAATTCACAGCTAATAGTTCATGGTAACTGCTACATATTCAAAGACCTACATTCTAGCAAAAGCTGAAAATAAAATAGTTTTCCTTCTAATCACTCCTAAGTGAGTTACATCTATTTGACAGAATAGCACTTCAGGAAATTTCATTTCCAAAAGGCAAAATGAAGCAATGACAAAGGAAAAGAAAAACAGCAAGTCAATTGTTTTGGGGTATTTTTTGCTGTAAAATTCTATGGAGCAGGTTTCATAGCAACTAAAGTAAATGCAAAATTTGCTTTAAAAATGAACATCCTATAATTTTGTATTTTATTTTTTAGTTCGTTCATCTCCTCAGAGTACGACACTACCTCTGCTTTTGGAAAAGGTAGTTAGAATAAAAAAACCCTCCATTTAGTTCTGATATTTGTCTAAATAAAACTTCCTCATGGAAAAGAAGCTGTATATCAATTTGTACATAGCAAAAGTTTTTTGTTAGCAGATTTTTCTATGGGTCCTGCTAATTTCTTATTGTGTTATTTGTTTGCCTTTTTTTTCCCACAGGAAAAAAAAGTCTCCCCAGTTGCCTGGAGCACACACGTAATTTTGGAAGCATGAAAGTGCTTTCAGCTATAAAATTGTCCTGGTGTTCTTGGGAGAAAAAAAAATCTGACAGGAAGGACAGAAAACAGATAGTACATGAAGGAAATCTCAACCATTATAATAAATGATGAGGAAGGACAGAAAACAGATAGTACATGAAGGAAATCTCAACCATTATAATAAATGATGTTAAAAACAACAAAATGTTGTTTTGTTAGTGAGCAAATTAGGTGGCTAGAGCTTCCACTAAAAATCTTCTAAACTTGACTGCCCCCACTGATGTCAGAAATTCAGTTCTGCTGACATTATGGGGCAGCAGGAGCTGCCCTGCTGACATTATGGGGCAGCAGGAGCTGCCCTTTATATAACCACTATATTCCAATCTTAGGACAAGAAGACAAGCCACAATGGACACAAGTACATGTTCTTATAGTAAAACACCTGAAGCAGGAATTACATGATTCTTGTACCTTTTGCAGTAATTAAATCCATCATATTTTTACACAAATTTGTTATATTCAGATAACTATTTTTATTCTTCATTTCTCAAGTTCTTATTACTGATTTTCAAATGTCTATGTTACCTTTGACTGCTTTTCCTCAACAGGCCTCAAGTTCCCTTCTGCGTCTTTCTTAAAGGTTAAAATCTTAAAAGACAGTAATACACTAACTTTTAAGGGTTTGGGATGATTTATTCCCAGCATTTATTACTTTGTTTTTAAGATTCAATCACACAAATTAAAAATCTTATCAAGCAGCTGATGCAACCTAAAAATGAGATTATGGCCAGAGGCATTAGTCAAACTCTGAAATCAGGTATGAATTGAAAAACAGCAGCAGAAAGGAGAACCGAGAACTATTACACTTGATAAACTTATCCTGAAGAAACACTCCACCACTCAAAACAAGACAAGAAGACTTCAGAAATACACAGTCATCTCCTTTGGCAACAGATGAAAAACCAAGGTAACTCATGCTGGATTACACATTCACGGTGCTAACAGAGAATATGACTAGAAAAACATTAGTGTGCTGCAAGGTGAGCATTTTTGAACAAAAAAGCATTATTTGAACCATCACATTTCCTCAGGCACTAAATTCCAAAGATGTAAGCAGATGGTTTAAGAAAACCTACCTCAGGCTGTATAGCTTTAAATACAGGCATATCCATCAATGTTATCTGGCTCTGCAATGAAGAGAGAATTTTATATCATGTAATATCAAGAGCTGATAGTGATGTATTTCCATCTGTCCTTTAGCAACTACAAATCATACACATATTCCTCACTGACCAGAACTAACCTATGCTAAGATCTCCTAAAAGAATTAAAAAAATTCAAATGACTTTATACAGTAAAACAAATATGCTGTGTCAGGTCAGTACTAAATGACTAAATCCCAAGACAGACTTATTTCATTGAAGTTGATAAAGGTAGAAATTTGTTTTAAATAAACAAAAGTGTTCCTGAAAAGATTTTTTTTTTTAAGAAGATTACATGTATTTTTTAGTACTCTACTAGCCCTGAATAGTATACAAGTTTAAATGCAAAAATAACATTTGTACTTACAGCAAACTCCTCAGGAGTTACTTTCAACACATCAAATACGACTGCATCGTAGCTTTTATTGGCATAATCTGAACTTCGCCCTTCCAGAGAATCTGAGCTGCTACTACCCTACAAAGAAAAAATAGTAGGCTTATCTGCAGAATGATGAATTTCATCTGCAAATCAGGAAATAAATATGTGCAAAAATACTACGTAATGACAAGAAAATGTATGAACTTCAAGAAGTCTGACACCAAATTATTGAATTTAGTTTTAAACTGTTCACTAATGTTTTCAACTTCCTTCTGCAAAAACTACAATGACAAAATTTTAGCTGTATGACATTTTCAGCTTTAGCAAGCCATTTTAAAAATCATAGACTAAATTAAAGAACTGTCACACAAAAGGAAATGTGTTGAGATTTTGAAGATTCATTTTCCATAGGATTTTTAAAATTAAATGCACAAAGAAAAGAGTAGGTAGATCCAAGTCAAGATGCTCTATCCACAACATTATAACTACGGGAAAATTGACACATCCTGAAATTTAACCTGCATACTACTGATTAGGAGAACCCGACATTTGTACAGGTCAAACCTAAGAAGGGAATACAGGGGAATTAGCAGAAACACAGAATTATGTTGTATCAGGAAAGTGCCAAGTCAGTGTCTCTAAAAGAGAAGCATTGCCTCAGTATCTACTGAGGGTAGTGAGTAAAGGATCAAGATTAATAATCTTGTTAAACTTCCAAAAGATTTTTGATGTTGTTCCTCACTCCAAAGACATTAAGCCCAAGCACAGGGGCTTGCAATGTCCTTACAATGATAAATAATTAGTTACAAGGCAGTTGTTAAAAGCACTGAAAATATATGAATGTGAAGAGAATTATGTATAGATAAGTGATGTTTATTATATATTCAACAATCTGGTAAACCCTGTAGAATTATTAAAAACTATGGATCTTCATTTATTTAATGTGCTAAAACAAAAAACCTGGCAATGAAAGACTGAAATGGCTTGTCACAAGATTTGATTAAGTCCGGAAAAGCAAAAATAAAAATATATAACAGATTATTAATATGCTCCTTTATAAATCCAGGTGCACCCAACTTTGGAATACATATGCAGTACTACTGTCCATCTTAAAGCTGAAAAAGAGTTTCTCCAATCCCACATTTAGAATATGCACTTTACAGGACAAGCTTTACTGTTGCTGATTAGTAATATTTCATCATAATATTAGATGAAAGCAAACACCTAGAAAAAGTCCAGCAGCTAATTCCCAAGCAGTGTTCCATTGGCTGTCATGAAGTGACAAACAGCTGTTAACTGTGCACAGCAGCTCAACACAGAATGAGGCAGCTTTTGGAAGTAGCACCAAAAAGCTGCCTGGTCTCCAAAGGATATAAACATTAAAATGAAGAAAATGTTAGAGCACTTTCTCACAAGCAAACCAGTAAATTAAAAAGAAGAAATAAAGAAAAAAAAAAAATATAAAAGGGGGGGGGAGGGGGAAGAAAGGAAAAAATGCAGCTGGATATTTCTGGGTTCTATTTCTGACTGATTCCATTTTGATTACATTGCTCTGAGCTCACTAATAATACATGCTCTAAGTTACAGAGTAACAGGTCAAAAATGTTATTTAAAACTAAACAAAGTAAGTAATCATCATCAACAACAATAAAAAAACACAGCTGTGAACACCACGAGCCATGGAGTGTTCTACAATTGCTCTCTTGCCATGTTTCTTTGCCTTACAAATGGTGTGGTATTTTACCAGTAGTGGAAAGGGCTTCTGTGAAACAAGCCCAAATTTCCATTTTGATACAGAAGCTAATAAAACCCAAGGAACTGTACCTCTGGAGTGGCGGAGGTGACCATCACATTGGCCATGAGGTCATTCCTTTTATACATGCTCTCCACAAGATGCAAGAAGTTTCAGCTCAGCCACCACTGTCTGAAAACAGAAATTCCTGCAAAGCAAATTATTTGTGGAATAAATAAAATTTATAAAAAAACTGAAACACGCACAGAAAATAACCCAGCAATACAAGAGATTTAATTTTTCTTTCTCAGAGCAAAGAACTTAGGAGATAGGTGCTCTTTTCCAGGTACCAACTCTGAAGGAGTACAACTGAATATTGCAAAAGCCATGCCAAGTTGTCACCCCTAACCTCCATTCAACTCAAGAAATGCAGGGGGGAAAAAAGTGTATTATTTGCCATTTATGTTGAATTAGGTTTTATATGAAGTCCCTCCTAGGCAGGACAAAGTCTCAGAAACCACAGGCTACCACAAACTGCTTACAGAACGAGCAGGTCAGCTGAAGCTCTGATCCTCTTTAACTGAGGAAACAACATGGTTGTGTCATCATTCCCCACAGCACACATGCATGAGCCCATAGCAGGCACTGCCACTGATTCCTATGCACGGACTCTTCCAGCAAAATCTGTAGTTGCTCACATGTGCAGCAAGGGATATTGCCACATCTCCCCCTGCAGCCTCACGTTCCCTCCCACAACACTGATCACACCAATAGAAAAATTCTGAAAAAGCAAACAGCTAAGAATAAAAATAATCTCTTATATTACTCCCTTTTGAATGATGAGGTCTTCACTTCTCATTCCTATAAAAACTAAGAATTCTTCCCAGGATCTCACATGAAACAAGTCACTAATTTTGCCTCAAATAATGCCAAAATCTTCTTTGCTAAATAAGGTAAGATTCAATTTCTTTTCTTCTTATAAAGTTAACTCATTTTGAGCATTAACAGGCTGCTAAGTATTTCTAGGTCTGAGTTGTTCTTCTTAATAGTCCTTACAATCCTGAAGTGGAAAGTAATTCCACTTATAATCTACTTACTGTAGATGTAATTTCTTTAACATGTGGCATTTACATTAAGGCCACAAAAATATTCTTGTGTCCTCCATCCCTGCCTTTCTGAATAGGTTCTCCAGGGCATGAGGAATCAATAATGCTGTGAAAGGGAAAGAAAAATCCCATATGTGAACTTGTACTATGCTCAAGTTCAGTTTTACACCAAGTTTTAATGTTCATTATATCAAAGTGAGACAAAAATGCTTTAATACCTAAACCCAAAAGCACTAGTATACTTTTTCCTTTCAACATTCAGCACATACATAAATCTTGCAAGGCTAGAAACTTTCATTCTAGACAGGATCAAAATAGATTCCTCTTGCCTTACCCCCCTCCCCCCAAAATGTTCCAAATATAACACAAGCATTAAAAATGCACTGCTTCTTCCTATGTGCAAAGATTTCTCCAAGATTCACATCTGTGAAAAAAATACTTCTCTACACACCCACTTGTTTTGCTACCTTCATGACAGTCATAGAAATCAATTATCCTTTTAAGTCAAGTCCACTTGATCATTTGAAGTGTTTCCTCACCTGCAGAAAGCATCACTGCACACAAAGTAACACAGGAGCTAATACTAAGCCCACAGTATGAAGAGGCTGTCAGACAATATAAAGATACCAAAACAATATTCCCCTTGCATATTTCACAGCAACAAAATTAAAAATTCTGAAATTCTAAAACTTATCAAAGGCCCAAAATGTTTGCAATAAAAGGCAAAAAGTCACTAAAATGACATAAATTGACAGACAAGATTCTTTTCACAGCTTGTCATTCATACAATTTCTTTCAACTTTCTCAGGTTAATCATTAAAATGATGCATTACATAAACAATACTAAAAGTCAAAACTAAGAAAACACCTTTTATGTTTGCACGGAAGGTTCACAGGCACACTGCAGCAGATCTCCTTCACAGACTGCCAGAAGCAAAGTGGATAAATCAGGATGCAAACATACATATCACCAGAGGTTGTCTGTTCTTCTTTGCCAATTTGATAGCACTCTCTGAAGCAAAACTGAAGACAGTGCAAAAACAACTGGAAAAAAACCACAAAAATACCATCATCAAAACCAAGCACAGAAGTAAACCTTAGAGCCATTATTTTAGCAGCATTTGTAAAATCTTGTTATCAATGCCACAGAAGCAACATTCTCCGAAAGCAAAATGACAATTTTATACTGCTGTTAGTAACGTGCATGTAATGCAGTCAAAGTGCCCTTAAGTTCAATCTCTCAGTACTAGTTACCCAACTCACAAGAAAGTCAGAGACTCTTAAGCACAGAAACCACTTCTGGCCAACAAAGTCCCTGTGTGCTAATTTCTGAATGCTAGCAGAGCAATCTAAGGAAATCACTGACTGTTCACATTGCTTTCAGCAAATAAAAAAATAACCATGTCAGCAACCACTGATGACCATTGTTCTTATTGATTCTACCACTGGAGGGAAAAATACTGAGTTTCTTACCAGCCCTAATTCAGCCATTCCAGACTCCATAAGTCAACTGGCTTCATTGATTTGGTTGAAAAACCATCTACTTAATATTTTCCTTAGCTGATTATGGTTTTCCTAATACCACTGAATTATGAACCGAGAGCTGCAACATGCTTTTAAGAAAATACACTTCAGCATTCTACCAAAAGATAACTGTCCTTTCTTAAGTTAGCTGCACACCTGGTTCAGTGAAAACATAGTGCACTAGGGCCCTACCTCAACAGTGATAAACTTGGTTAGAACCAATAGAGGTAACCAGTAGGGATTGGGTTTATTTTAAAACAATAAATTTAGAACAGATTAGTTCCAGTTGGATGAGGCATACAATGATCATCTAGTCTCACTGCGTGACCACTTCAGGGATGACCAGAAGTTAAAGCATGTTATTAAGTGCACTGTTCAAAGGCTCTTAAACACTGACAGGCATGAGGCACCAACCTCATCTCTAGGAAGCCTGTTCCAGTATTTGAGCACCTTCCCAGCTAAAGAAATGCATACTGATGTTCAGTTTGAACCTCCCCTGGTGCAGCTTTGAATCATTTCCATATGTGCTGCTCCTGGATTCCAGGCAGAAGATCACCATCTCCCTCTCCACATTCTCTCTCAGGAAGCTGCATAGAGCAATGAGGTTGCTGCTCAGACTCCTGTTTCCTAAACTAGATAATCACAAAGCCCTCAGCTGCTCCTCAGGGGATATGCCTCCCAGAATTTGTAATCAGACATCAGAATGGTTAACTGGCATCGATCGAGATAAGGAGATGCAGAATACCTAAAACAATCTTGCTTTTTACCTTCAGCAAGACCAACACTATATTACTACATCCCCAGGCAACATCCAGCCTAAAGACACATTTACAACACACCATATAGAACTCATATTCAGTTCCGAACAGTTTTTCATCATTGCATTAACTTTCCTTTTCCTCATTCCTAAACTATTCTTCCAGATGTTCACCACTAGAACCTTTCTTTCCTTGAAGAACCAAGAACAAAGTCATACTCAGGTGCTGTGGGCATAGAGTACAAACAAAAGTATGTTAGCACAGCTAACTAGTGGAAGAAAAGGATTCTATTATGAAAACAGAATGAAACGGTAACAGGGTTATATTTTTGCCCCCTGCTTGCAATCAGTCACTGATGTGACACTTGTATCACCATCTACATCATGTCCAAGTTCAGCTCTCTTAAGGGCAGGGTGGTGGCTGGGGAGAAGCCCCATCTTTTTCTTCTTTTGGTAATAAAGACAAAAAGGCAAATACCATTGCAGTATCTAAATCAATACACTGCTTGTTCTCTGTATCCTAGATGTTTACATACCTTTTCCTGCCCTCTCATTAGGTTTCTTTTAGGTCATTATCACAACTCTAATTAAAACAATCAAAAAAAAAAAGAAGTAAATGCAAAAGGATTTCAAAATCCTTTTGAGCTTGCACAATTTAGAAACTGTCATTGCAGTGACAAAGTAAACCATTCTGAAAGGATTTGTAGAGAATTTCTTTACATCTTTCAAAGTAGCAGATGCTGAGTGCTACGTGGATACTTGCTAACCTAGAGAAACACAAACCTCAAAAGCACTGAGCAACACTGATGCACGACCAATTACTTCTTGACAGCATCCATCCTGTCCCAAAAGTACAAACAATGTATCTTCACTTGTGCCCCATCCAGTAAGTACCACCTCTCTCAAACCCCATTTCTCAACCCCTCACATATGATTCCTGGAAAGTGGAGGGAAAAAGGATCATATCTCCTAGAGTAATTATAGAAATTACCCATGTGAACCCCACTTCCTTCAGAAAATAACTATCTGTAAGCCACTCTGAGCCCTTTTATGACACACACGTCATTTACAAACACAGATATGACACCAGACAGTTGAGCTGTGTCAATAGTCATACTGCTTTACATGAAAAATCTCTTAATTTCAAAAAGTCTTTTTGAAGTAATTAAACATTAGGCCTTGGTGGACATTTTGCACAACATGAGAAATTCTAGATTATTTGAAAGCCTGGATTTAAATAATATTTGCCAACTAACAGTTTATTAAGAACAAAGCAATTAGGCTACAGAAGATTAGTCACAGAAATGCGATGGCTTTTTACAGATCTTCCAAAGTAAATGCTTGTGTATTTTCTGTATTTATTTCATCAGAAGTCCCTAATATATTTCACTGTGCTTTAGGCAACAGTACCACCTATAGATAAAATACACTATGAACAATTTCATATGAGCAGTTTCATGCACATCCTTTTCTGAGAAACTTCTTACTACAGTTAATGATCAATAACAAAAAATGTAACAGAAATAACATGGGGATGTGGATTAATTCAGCTGACCATAAACTGAAATCACTCAAGCAAATAATTATTCCTCAATAATATGCATTGTCCCTGAGTAAACAGGTTGAAAAAAACTGAATCTTGACAATCTTCCAATAGCTGACAATGGATCGAGTCTAATTCAGGAAAAAGCACAAAGTTGACTTCCCTTTCCAAAATTTTCTCAACTCTCCTGCTTCCACCCCTCCAGTGCACGTACTCAAATGAGTTTGACTTTGAGTAGAGAAACAGCTTCTGTGATGAGTTTAAGAAACAACTCCAGAGTCCAAGTCCTAAACTCTTGGGTTTTATGAATACACAACTGATTTGAATTATATCTAACAGTACATTAAAAACAACACCTAATGCGCAGGTCATGCATTTATGACATGTTTTACTTGACTACTCACATGTTACACTAGACTGTCATCAGTCCCTTTGCTGTCACTATGCTGCCCTACAACAATTAAAATTTCAGCTTTTCAAAGTAACTGTCATAGGACAACTTGGATACAAAGACATCTGTGGCATTCACTACACCAAAATAGTAAGCTCACATTCTACAAGTTGAATAAAAATAAGGTTGTCTTATTTTTAAAAATTATAATGAATACAATGTCTCAGTTTTCTACTTTAAGAGCTGTATGCAAAATATCCTAACAAAAGGCTGTCAAAAATTATTTCAAATCTCACAGAATCCTCAGCTGCTAAAACCTTGAATGAGTAGAAAGTTTACAATGCTGGCTTGAATGTCCCATGCTATTTTTCTAATTATCAAAAATTCAAAAAGTCATTACCCTTCAAACAAGTCTGCAAACTTGAATAACTTAGAAGATACATGTTTAGGGAAGTTATACTTTAAGGGAAGCTTCATGGAACAGTTACAGGAAAAGAAACATGTACCTGCAAATTATAGTAAAATACTACTACAACTCAAGTTTCCTAAACAGAAGAGAACTGACAGGCACTTCCGTGATCTCTGATTATCAAATATAAGTGAAAATATTAAATACCTGTAACTTTAAATACAATTGCATACTTACAGTGGAATAAGGCAGCTCTACTCTCAACCCATTTTGCTGCACACCTCCATTAGTCTTTTGCTGGGTCTAGCTCTGGGTTTTCAGCAGTTTTATCTCTTGTTTAAAAGCATAACATTCCTGTAAACATCAGGAAACAGGATTACAGTGACATTTATTTTACAACTCAGTTCTTCTCAGACCGGGCACTCCTCATCTGAAACATGCACTCTAATATTTTTATTCTTACCTCTCCCTCACAGCTTTCATTGTTAGTTCCCCATTCTAGTTCCATTGGTATATGATAAATTCTCAAACTCAAAAGAACTACATATACATCACAGAGGGAAAAGCAACTTATTATAAATTTCATAGCTAAATATACTCTGAATATGTGCTTGTAACTCTTCCTCAATGTCAATCAACACAAAGGTCCAAGCCAACACATACTGTTTATTGGTTTCATTCACTTCTTTCCAGGTGCTTTATGAATTGTAAATGCTAGTCATCCTCACACCATTTTCTTCAAGGCTTAACTAAACAAAGCAAAATGGACACAAGCCATAGCTCTTCCACCAAACATGACCAGCAACAAACCTGAGAAAAATACTGCTTAGGTAATTCATTTTGGTAACATTTATAGTAGGCATAGCCCTTCCTTTTTCTTCTCTTTTGCCTTATACCAACTTTCATAAAACATAATGTTTAATAAAATTATGCATCAAATGAGAAGAAAATAATCTCAAAGACAGCTTGTTTTATATAGATTGACATGAAAACCCCATTAAAGCCCATGTTGTTTTGATAAAGGTGAAAAACATTGCAGATCAATTGGTGTTACAACTATGCCTCTACTACAGTCTCTGTTTTCCTTTCATCATTAGGGAACCTCCACCTGAAAAAAGTCTGTCTTCTAGACTGTTACTATATATAATTCCAACTGGCATCAAAGCAAGCTGTCTTTTGCTGGAAAAGCAGTGTTCTTTTGGCACATCCAAAACTCATCCAGTAGGCACTCCTTGAGCGAGCAAATGATCCTAGTTCATAGAAGAATCAAAATAACAAGTTAAAAATGGGTTAGCATCCACTTAAGCATTTCAATCAAATTACAGACATGATGCCTGTTGTCTGCCCTGCATCGTGTGCCACTTTAGTAAAGGGCAAACCTTGTAATTACTATGCACCTGAACTTCTAGATGTCTTCCCTTCACTAAAATAAGGTAATGAAACAGAAAAATGAATAACATAACTTGGTTTAAAAGTGTTTTGTAGTTACTTTGCTTCAAGCTGGTGCTACATCATGCAAGATGGGCAACATACAGAAAATGAACAAACAAGTCTGTGTAGTTCTGCCCTTTACAGCAGCTTCCTGTCCTTCACAAACATGAAGAATATCTACTAGGCATGGCATGAATGATCAACAAGAGAAAAAATATCTGCCCGTCAAAGTTGGACATAAAAAAAAGATTGCAACATTCATAGATAAGATTTCTGAGGCAAGGAATATCCTTCTGTATTTCAAAGACACATTTCAATTTTTTCAATAATTAGTATGACAAGAACACATATACTCTATTGCTCTATTTTGTTGGGTTCGGAACAACAAACCACAGATAGAAAGCACCATGTACGTCTATAACCAAGAATTTCAACATCCATTCCTTCTCCATCCACTACCTGCCAAAGCCACAGGCTGACAAAAGCCTGCAGAAGCTAGACCAAAAGCTGTCTGAAGTGATTTGAAAACAGACGGCAGTCAAGCCTCTTAACAAGACCCTCACGGTTTCATCCACATGATATGCAAATAGTTTTCAAATTTATTCCGAAAGACACAGGAGGACGTGGCCAACCTTAGGCGGTTTCCCTGTGCTCCCCCCACGCCCCATATCGGTACCAAGTTCGCTCCCGCTGTCCGCCCGCACTCGCGCCGCGCGGCACCGACCATACGTGCCCGCCCCGCTTCAGCGCCCCGGGCCGACTCC